ACCAATCAGAGGCCTCCTGTCTGCGGTCACCTACAGTTTTGGAAAGGTGCAGCAGAGAGTCTGCAGAAGGGGCGGGGCAAATCTGTGTTAACTGCGACCCACACAGATAATGGTTTCTGAGTATAAATCAGCATTTAGTTAACAAACAGAGGAAACCTGGTAGATGCAGCAGAATTAGCTATTTACAGATTTGAACCCAATGGGCATTCCCCATCTAAAAATATCACACTGGATCCTCTAACGTTTATGTAAAGCTTATATAAGATTCCTCAACATAAAACAACTATGGGTGATTCTCTGTGTTAATCTAGAAGAATTCTATGTGACTGGTAACCTTCACTTTGTGTTACAACTGACCGTTTGGTGGTTTGGTTACTGCCTGCCAACACTTTGAAATGTTTCATGATGCCACTGGCTATTCCCCCTGGTGATTGTGTGAATATACCACCTCCTTGTAAATCATCTACATACTTATGGAAACATTACTCTTTTAATCAGTAACATATCACTAGTTCATCTCTGAGGAATCTCTAAAAATGTTAATAAAAACTAAAAGTAAAGACATAAAATGACTCAGAATACCCTTTTATATAAATGTGGTTTACTTTAATGTTATGTTTGCCACTCATTTAGTGAGGTTTAGGAGGCTGTTACAAATAATGCACATTATTGTGTCAGTAAACTATATTGTATTACTTTGATTAAGCTTCAATAGTTTTACACTAAGCACATTTAAATAGCTTGTACAACCAGGCAACATGTACTACAGTGTTCTGACAGTGAATGGCATTCTGGCTGCACATAAAGAAAAACCTTAACTGTTCCTGTCTTTTTTTTTTCTTTCTTCCACTTTTATAGTGGAGTGCTTTCTCCCCTACAGTCAGACTCTGGCTCTTGTTCATAAGTCTGACTCTTAAATGGCCAAAGCATTGTGGTAAGATACGCTCACAGTGTTTTAAGGTGGATTTTGAGTTCATACGGAGGTATTAGAGCAAAATAAACCTTATGCTTCATTTGGAAACACCTGTTTATGAGATTGTAGACAGCAATGCTCATACATCTGTCAGCGACACATTCCTGTCTGTGTCAGGGAAAGCTTAGGGGCATGTGGTTAACAAATGCGGCCGTTCTTCTAAGTTTGTCTGAGTTCTGGCGTAAAAGTGTGATGTCAGGGCTGGTTGTTCTGAGGGAGGCACAGAAATGGACAATAAATCAACCGTCGATTTTTATGGCCTTTGTTATCAAGACATCCTAGGCTGAAACAAATGACTGGGGTTTCAAAATCAACAGTATGTTTCAGCTATCTCTGATTACACGGCTCGGCCCGGCTCGGCTCTCCGTGCGCTCTGCAGTACGAAACAAGGCAACACTTTGGAGAAAGAACAGACTGTATGGCAGCTGCTGTGCTTTCTTAGGCACAGTTATTGATAACCTGTCAGTAAGCACTATGTAGAGCGGGATAATTTTTCAGTGTTGCTTTCTCAAAGAAAATAAGACATAAAACCTGCATGTGTCAAGGAGATTAAGGCTGACCGACATACATACTTGTTAAAACGGCTTGAAGGCAGTACCTTAGGTGTTCAGAAAGAATGCTTCAGGGTTTATTTTTTAGGATTTGGTTTGCAGATATGAAACAAATGAACTAAGTGAGACTCGAGTTAAGCTTTTTAAAGTGTTATGCCTTAGATTTTCTTCTGACTTTAAGGCATAAACAATAAACTTCTTACCTGAAGCTCTCTTGCTTTCTTCCTTTAGTATAAATTGGCAGGGCAGTGGTGGCCGTGTGGTTGGGGCAGTGCGCTTGAGTCTGAGAGGTGGTGAGTTCAAGCCCCACTCCTACGGATTGTCACTCTGGATCCCTGAGAGAGACTTTTAACCCCCAGGTGCCACACAATGGCAGCCCACTGCTCTCCAAAGGGGATGGGTTACATGCAAAGAGTGAATTTCTTTACTTTGTACTTGTGACAGTGTAATGACAATATAGTTGAATTCTATTCTAAATCATAAAGCACAGACATTTGCTACTGCAGCCAATGGGGTGCCCCCATTCAACAGGGCAACTAACATAATAGTAGGATCATGAGATACATTGACAAGAAGTGTTTTTATAAGTCTGAGTTAGTGAATAAACTGTGATAGTTTTTAAAAATCCACACTTTCCCTTCAAGAAATAAAAAGTAAAGGGAAAAGAAACAAATTAGCTTCCATTATTAATCATATTGTAGTTCTCAGCTAGCATTTTCTCCAAGAAACAAATGTACACCGAGGAGGCTGGTCAACAGCAGTCAACAGAAAAACGTCCTTGACAGTGGCTGTATCAGTTGCATGTTTTGGTCAGCTTCCAGTCAGCGACTAATGCCTGTGTTTGCTCTCTGTGATGTAGCGAGCTACAGGTCGTGACCCCTCTCTTGCTGTAAACTAAAGCAGATGTCAGATGAAGAAGGGACGGGTATGGTGTTACATAATTGAGGTGCTCTTCAGTGATAGAGCCGCGCTGTGGTGAACGAGCTCCGCTCCACGTCAAACTGGAACCGTTAAAAAAGCTGGAGCTTTTTCCTGACATGTGCAGCCAGAAGAGCAGGAATTGAAACCACCTGAGTGAGATGATTAACAATAGAGGAGACGAACAGAGCGTGATCAGGCGGAGCGGGAACATTTCATACTTGTGTCCCAGACACCAGGATCAGACCAGGAGACCTCCAGATAACGGCCAGGAGGAAAAGCACACGGAGACAAAAGAGACGAAAGGAACGGACGCAAGCAGACCAACAGACACAGAGGAGGCTCTTGTTTACGACCTCCAGCTCCCACCTAGGCCACTTCTGCACACGCACACGCAGACACAGCAGGGAGAGTTGTACACACATGCCGTGGACCACACACTGCCTTGCAGATCTGTTTAAAAGCCAGGAGCTGTGTTTATCTTTCCCTACATCCTGTTCGCAGAAATATTTGTCAGAAAGCAGTTTTGTTTTGCATGTGTGTGAGTGTATGTATGTTTTCTTTATGCATATGTGGACATGCATGGTACTGATGGTGCAAGAGAAACGGTGTGCTGTGAAAGAGAGCACCTGATTGGACTCAGTCCTTGCTTTGTCGGCAACTATGGTATTTAGAGATATCTTTTTGAGTGCATTCTGTAAACAATGTAATTCAGACAATATTTATCCCATACTTTCAGTTCATGAATTCAAATTTGTTTTTGTTTTTTTTCTTTAATCTTGCTTTAATAAATATTTCTGTCACAGGAAAAGGCTGTTTTATAATAGTTTCCAACTTGATAATGAAAAATGTAACAGTTTTTGTAGATTTTTTGGGTGTTGGTCTAACAAGTATATGTCATAATACAGTATGTTATGTTAAAATACTATTTACATAATATCAGAATTTATTGAGCAAATTATGAGTCAAGAAAATAAGGATAGTCTTATTGTCTTGACTTGGATGAACTTAACAGTGTAGCTAGTTCAAACCAAGTTTGCTGTTATTATTCCTATTTATTTTGAAGCAACTAAAGGCAGTGATTAAGGTTGGACAATTAATTGCACTTGGAATTTTATCGCAATTTAGCAAAACGCAGAGGGGCTCAATTTAGTTCTGCTACTTTTAACAAGACCAAGACAGTAAATTTCACCCTCCAGGCCTTTGGGGGGCAGTAAATCATTGTAAGTGAGTTTTCAGCTAGCATGCAGGTCCATGCATGATAGTAGAAGTAACAACCTATTCATGCAAAGTGTCCTGCAGCAATGAACTCTGGGCAAGCAAGCTTTCAAGGTCATAAAAAGCTGAATCCCTGGAATGAAACATCGACATGCTTATGATAAATACTATAAAAATAATGCAACCGTTTTTGCACTTACTTAATCATATTTAGTTAGTTTAACACAACTGTTGATATTAGCAGCATAGGACATAAAATGATTGTGTTAAAGTAACTTGATATGATTAAATAAATGTCAAAAGTGGTTGCATTATTTTTTTTCAGTTAAGAAAAATCTAAATATTGGTTGACAAAGCTTTAGTTTTTGAAAAATGCTTTCAAGATGCACCCAGGTTGAAGGAAAATAAAACAGCTTTATCATTAACACAGCCATAGATTGTAATTTTTTCCTGGTGCCATTATGCATCAAGCTTTGATCCTTCCATTGGTCATAAAGAAAAGGGCATCTATATTACAAAACATACCATTAATCTTTTCTCTGATATCGGTCCTAAATATCTCAACCCACTTAAAGAGTTGTACAATTTAAAAAAAAGTCACACAAAGTCTTTAATGTAGAGTTTCCTTCACTGAAAAAAATAATGCACCTTTTTTTGGAATATACTTAATCATATTTAGTTACTTTAACACATTTTTTTTTCATGTTAGCAAGGTAGGACATAAAACTATTTAAGCAAAAGTTAAAGTAACTAAATATGAATATGTATAAACCAAAAGTGTTTGCATAATTTTTTCAGTGTTGGTTGGAAAACTATGAGAGAGGGAATAGAGCACAGGTTTATTTAGCTTTGAAAAGGAAAATGAAATACTGCTTTCATTATGTGTTGGTTAAAGAAACATGATAAATTTGAATATGAGAATTTCCTCCTTTCAGGCATACATTGCATTCTAATGGCTTAAATCATGACGGGTGTGGGGGCTTTTGTAATATAGAAAACAAGGCAGTTGATGCTCCTCCTTAGAGGGACAAAATATTTACAGACAAAATAAATCAAATAGCTTTCAATCTCTTATTTTCTTTCTATGTCGATGGTGTGTGCACGTTCATTTTGCAAAGGGGGGTTTGAAACATTCATGTGAGCTATATTTGAAAGTGATTTTTAAAGTATTTATTTCTTGATTTGTACACCCCGGCTCTTATAAGGAGCTTCATCATGCAGGTTGATTAAACTCAGATGATTCTGAAACAGCTTCTTTTTTTTATTTTCCTCTTTCCCTCACCTGCCTCCTCACACCTCCTTTCCTCTTTCCTGTGCTCCTTCTGTTCTCTTTCCATCAGTGCTACAGTTAAGACTTCAGCAGAGGAGGACACGAGAGCAGCTGGCAAACCAGGGCATCATGCCTCGTGAGTAACGTCTTCCAGCACTGAAATGCCTCACCTTCATGAACACACGTACCTTTCCTCCCTCACACTTTTTGTCCACAGCAGAAAGAGCAGGACTCACTGTAACCTTTATATGTATGTGGATTTGATCAGCAGCAAAAATTTGCTGTTTTTTTCCCAGGGAATATAAAGCCTTTAAAAAAATTATTCACCCTCATTCAGTTTTTTTCTTTTAACATTCCATAATTTAAATATCTTTTAATCACAACTATTTGATGTATCTGCACTAAGCAGTTTAGGTTTGTGAAATTAAATAAGAAAAAAAATATGCAAAAGAATAACTAAAGAATAAATTTGCATATCTATCCAACCCCTGGTCTATGAAGTCCTTTAAAGGTTCTGGCGCCACCAATTACCTTCAAAAGGGAAATAGTATGCTGAATTAGCCCATCTCTGTGCAGTCAAAGTGTCACATTATCTCTCATAATAATCAGAACTTTTGTGAAAGGCCCCAGGGGCCTCAATGCTACTAAGCATGAGGTATAACACCAAGATAACCAAGGAGCTTTCCAAACAAGCCAGGAACAAAGTTATCTAGTTGTATGGCCGCTCACACTGAGCCTGGTTCTGCTAGAGGTTTCTTCCTGTTAAAGGGAATTTTGCCTCTCCACTGTCGCTCCAAGCATGCTTAGTGTGAGGGATTGCATTTGAGTCAATGAGTTGATGCAATCAACTGGTTTTCCTTAGATAGAAAACTTTGAATCAATTTGACTGTATGATCTGGTGAATTGTAAAGTGAATTGAGATGACATGTGTTGTGAATTTCCACTATATAAATAAACTGAATTGAATTGAATTGTACAAGTCAAGGCAGGGTTTAAAAAAGTATCATATTTGATGTTCCCAAAGAGTGCCATCAAATCTATTATCCTTAAATGAAAAGAACATGGGGAAAAAGGGCATTATTTCAGTGAGTTCTGTTTGAATAGTTAAGCATAAGAGGTCCCTCCCCATGGCAATCACTGCGCTTACAACCCCTTCCTACACCCCCCCCCCCACCCCCCCACCCCCTACAGCAGAGACTGCTATGAAGGCGCAGGCTAATCAGCAAAACCCCTGATAATAGCCAATAAACAGCTGTGACATATTCACTGGTAGGATATGCTTTCCATTGAAGCACAGCTGCAGCATACCGGTAGTCTTGATATTGAACACTAGTATCAGCTGTATGCTTTGAGAGGCGTGAGCAGCATGTACAGGAGTGTGATTGACACTCCTAAAACATTCCCACTGCCACTGATTGTTTGTTTCTTAACAGCTGTGTTTTATTTTTGTAAATTTTTGTAATTTGAAATAGGACCAATAGAAGCCAGTGCAGCTTTTTTTTTAACTATCTGTCTCGTATTGTACTGTCAGGTTTTGTTTTTTTTAAGTCAACTACTGCACCTCTATTTATAGGCCAAAAGTAACCGCAAAGAAGTTGCAACATTTGACAAGACTGTAATATCTGTTTTTAGGAACACAATACCCCTTATTATCAAGTATACTATACTGTGAGGTAACAAAAATTAAAAACTGCCAAGGGGAGTGATTATTAATTTACAAAGTATTATACTTGGTTAGGGCTGCTCAGTGCTGCAGTGGGTAGCACTGCCGCCTTGCAGCAAGAAGATCTGGGTTCGATTCCTGGTTTTTCTTCATGGAGTTTGTATGTTCTCCCTGAGCATGTGTGGGTTCTCTCTGGGTACTATGGCTTCCTCCCACAGTCCAAAAACATGACTGTTAGGTTCATTGGTTTCTTTAAATAAATGTTTGTGTTGTCCTGCGATGGATTGACGACCTGTCCCGGGAGTACCATGCCTAGAGATAGGCACCAGCACCCCTCGCGACCCAGCTTAGGATAAGTGTGACAGAAAATGGATGGATGGATATACTTGGCTGACATAAACTGTCAAATGTGGCTGCTTCTCTAATACCTCATTCATCTGAACTTCCAACATCCCTATACCTTCACCTCTTTCCAGAATGTTCTGAGAGATTCCAAGAAATTCCCTGGACAGAGGGCATATATAATCCTTCCAATGTGTTCTGGGTCTGCCCTTCAGTCTCCTTCTAGCATGATGTAACGGAGGTTCTTCAAAACGGAGACTATGGAGTTTCTTACCTTATTTCTAAGACATGGCCATTTGCTTCTCTGATCTTTCAGTCATTGGTAAGGGCCAGTGGGTAAATGACAAAGATTCAACACTTAAGGCAATGGACATTACTTGTACATTGAAGGTGACTTACCTGTGGCAAAACTGTGACAACACCTATGGCGTGGTGGTCGAGAGATAGGGGTCCAATAACGGCTTTTAATAATCAAGATAGAATAGAATCAAGGGATCAAATATTTATCAGCAATTCTAGTAAAGTTTGCTTTAGGGTGTTGGAAACCAGGTCCAGACTGATTTCTGAACCTTAGATTCTGAGATGAACTTTTCATCCTGGTTAGGAAATGTGATGCTGGTGAAGATTCTCAGCATCCAGGTCATAGTCATTCTACAAAAAAAGGGTAAAAAAAACCCAAAACCACTGGACTTTTTTTCCAAGTTTGAAGACGTTTCAAAGTTGATCTTAATCTTTACCGAATTACTAAGAAGGTCATTGGGTTTTGTTGGCAAGTATACAAGTGTTTTATTGATCTGGAGGAGACTTCTACCTCTATATTTTCTGGTTAAAGAACAGCATTGGTAGATTTCTGTTACTTTTTAGGGATTGATTTTCCTTAAAAAAAGAGCAAGCAGCATGATCTACCATCAGTGAAGCTGACGTTGAATAAAATATAACTATGAAACTAGGGCAGGTAAAGAATTGATGTTACAAATAGATTTAAATAAAAATGAACTCAGACTCTGGTCAAAAGGCCGATCTAAAGTTGAAGCAGGTGGATGTATCCAGCCAGAAAGCAACGGGAGACAGTTGGTAGCTTCAAATAGCAAGAAGGCGGTCAGGTTGGTGAGTGACCGCTCAGGAATGTTCTCCTGATGGAAGAGGCTCTCTGCCTCAGAGGAGGCTGCAAGCATTTGGGCAGGATTCAGAGAGAGGACCTGTTTACAGGACCGCGCTCAATCAAAGTGAAGGCACACCCGAGGACGACAACGTGCAGAGAGAACTGCCATTTACAAGACGAAAGCTTTGTTCTTTTAATGTCACATAAGTCACAGCTAGGATGACATGCAGGCCTATGCTCACAGAGTATTCTCCTAAATCTTCGTTGTTCCTGCGATTTATGGGGCTTCGTAATACTTAGATCAGCAAAGCACTGCAGCTCTTGAAGGAATTCTGTTCAACTGTAACTGCAACGAAACCCAGCATAAAAATATATTCTTTTGAATATTCATGGGAAAGAATCCCCATTTAAAAGTGGTTTAACTGTGACTATAATGAGGGAACCTGGGTTTAAATGCCTTTTCCTTTAGGAAGGGCATCCTGCATAAAAACTCTGCCAAGTCAAACAAGCTGTAGTGACTTGCTGTGGTGATCTCTGCAAATGGGAGCAGCCGAAATGACACACACACACATATATGGGAAGCAGCATAAATCATTACAAGGGAGATAACAATTAACTTCTAGCCTTTTAGTGTATTACATAATGAACATTATGTTTTTTTTCTCTGTACGGCAACATAAAGTGGTTTATAATGATCTCTTTGCTAAGAAAATTGAGTGAAAGCTCCAGTTTTGAATTTGCAGAGCAAAAAGGTGATTCCTTAAGAATTAAGGCAGGAGTGGCGGAAAAAAAATGAATTCCAAACTTTTTAGGTTTTTGCTTTATAGAAACTGAGATTCATGCATCATTGACATCCAAGTTATGCATTATTTTCTGTCTGTTCTTTCACATAATAAGGGGTTAGCTGAGTTACGCCCTGAGTTAGAAGGAATTTTATTGAACAAATTTTCCCTAAAAGCAATGTGGTCGTGGCACTAGCATTTAGGAAGGTCAGTGCATCTTTTCCCCCTGCAGAATCAGAGCAGTAAATATGTGGCACATGGGTTGCAGGGATTTGCTGAATGATATCTCTGGCACCGTTTGCCATTTCACAGAGGCTCCAGCCTCCAGATAAAGCCCTAGTAAGTGTGCGGGGGAAAGGAATCCAGAGGTCCGGCTAGACCCTATCAGTTTCTAGGAGTCTGTCACAGATAAGGCAACAAGGGGAAACACAATTGGTGGACGGGAACCCAAGCTTGCTTTCAAAAAAGAAATTTCAATTGGCTGTTTATCTCTCGGATGCAAGCAGTGGCACAGATGCAAGAGAATTAAGCTTGAACTGTTTGTTTGGATGTTTCTTTCACCCATGCCACAGATTTCTTATCACACTTTCACGTTCAGAACTCTGTCAACAGCACCAAAAATAAGACATTTCCAAAGGCAACACAGTACTGTGCTCCTCCTGCTGCTGCTTCTGTAGATGTGAATCTTCAAACGCTGGCTGCCTCTGCCTTGCTGTGTTATTCCTGCTGGGGAGATGGACACGGCACAGGGTCTGTGTATACATTACCCAGGGAACATCTGGTGTTTATTAGACTATTCAAGAATCCACCCCAGCCTCTCAGGCCTGACCGGCGTGTGGCCCGCATAGAAGCTCACTGTCTCCCTGCTGGCCTCAGGTCTGACTCCACACACACATCCAATCTAATATTTCCTCATAAAGATAATAGAGCCATAGCTGGCTGCAGGTTTACAGTGCTTTTTCCTGCTTATGCTTTCAAAACCCTCGTCTTCGGGGCAGAGATGCTTAAAACCTGGATGGGAACAGTGATATCCCGTCCAGCTTCCCTCTTACTGTCATTCAGCAAGCATAGAGTTTAGTTTAGTTTAGTTTAGTTTATTTAGGATCCCCATTAGCTGTAGCAAGCTACAGCTATTCTTCCTGGGGTCCAACAACAAAACATGAAATAAAAAAATTACAAATGAAATAAAATTATGTTGAGATTAAAACAACATCTCCCATAATCTATACATATACATATATACATAC